GTGTGTGTGTGTGTGTGTGTGTGTGTGTGTGTGTGTAGGGGAAGAGGGCGGGGATAGAAACGTCAACCACCCCCACCCCCCAGCCTCCTTTTCTTTCTCCCCTTCCTGTAAAAGCCGCACAAGTCTTCCATCCCCCCTCAGCCATCCTCACAGCTCTGGGCAACCGCCAGGTTAAGCCCATTTGCACTGGGAAATTGACGCTGTTCGGGAGAAGAGAAACATATCGATTGCCCTTGTGACTCCCCGCCCCCCTCCCCACCCCCACCCCACCGCTCCCTCCCTCCTCCTCTCCCCCCGCCACCTCCCCTCACCCCGCCTCCTTCCCTCTCCCCACCCCCAAACCCTCTCACCCGCGGCAGTCCGGTGCGAGGGCCCCTCCGGAAGGTGAGGGGAATGGATTGGACTCCGGTGGGAAAAGCGGGTGTCTAGAAGTGGTGCTAATGGGAAGAGATTTCTGGTTTCAAAAGAGGATGCTCCGCCACAAAGAGCGGCTCGCGCGCTGGCCTGGGCTCTAGCCGAGGAGAGATCCCGGGAGAACTCCAGAGCTCGCGGGGAGCGCTCCTCGGAAGACCGGGGTCAACATGCCTGTTCGCAGAGGGCATGTGGCACCACAAAACACATTTTTGGGGACCATCATACGGAAATTTGAAGGGCAAAGTAAGTTCGTTTGTTCTCTTCTCTCTCCCTCGCTTTCTGCTTTGATAGTGCACTTGGCGTCCGCCGCTTCCAAGCTGAGGAGACGGCAACTCCGGGCTCTTGTCAAGTTACGAGGCTGTGAAACCGAGCCAGGAGGTTCGAATGGCAGCGCGAGTGTTCTGTGATACTAATTTTGATTTACATTGTAGATTATGGTCTCCATTATAGGAGGCAATTTGATCTTCCTCTCCCACTGCTCCATTATCTGCCTTGCTACTTAATGTCCTACTCTTCTACTATCTTAAAGGGAACGTACTAGTATAACGTGGGCTTATATTTTGTGGCCGTTTTATTGTAGACTTTTTGAAAGTCGGGAGCAAGGAAGAGCATACTATTGGAACAAGAGAATGTACTTGATAGCAGCGAAGTAAATGGCTATGCAAACTGTATTTTACCCTGATTAAATTGCAAGGCTGTGGTATGACAGGCATGCTTGCTTGCTCCTAGTTTATAGAAGCTAAACTTTGCATTGAATCAATGCAAATATATCCAAAGCAGGATAATTTGGAAAAAGCAACATCTGATCTATGTTGGTTTCCAAGGCAAACAGTTCATTATTTAAAAGAATATTTTTGTCCCTTTATTATCCCCTTAAATTTCCACTAGAAATGTAAAACTTGAAGTGTAATAAGTAAATCCCACAAAGAATGCAGAGAAATTTAATATTCTCACATGGACTCATTAAATGGAATAAATTATTGTTATATAAATATGTTAATTTTAAATCCTATACTTGTTAATTACGTTTGGCATTTCCTTAAAACTACACTAACACATTTATTTTTGTACATTGTGCAGTTATTTTGGCACTGCATTTAGTGATGGGAGGATATAGTACCTTGTGTACAAAATAAACTTGCATATCCTGCTTCATATTTCATTTGCAAATAGTAAATATAATCTGTGATCAAAATTAGTAGGCCCTTTGTATGAAAATCCCTACTACTACACAAAAATGCAAGATCCTCCAAAGTACAAGTGAAAAGGTGTTAACATGATATTTACTGGGTGTATATGTGTAAATATTTTTGTCTTCTGGGTAATATATATTATGAAAAGGTGAACCCTTTGCATTATTGAACTGCTAATTAAGGTGAAATGGTTTCATTGCTAATAGTTTCAGGGTTTTTTTTTTTTCCTAACATGATGTGTGTAGTATGCCATAGAGAGATAGAGAAAAGCCAAATCCAAGAATAACAACTGCTGTAAGAAAGTTGTACTCTAAGGGCCAAGGTTGAAGCGAGGAAACTGACAGCTACAGGGTGCTTCACTGTTCTGGCTTTGAAAATATTTACCTTACAATTAAATGGCATTCTGGAAATATCAGTGGGCCAGCTTGTCTGAGTGTTCATTAGGACCCTTGAGAGTTACAGGACTTGAGAACTAGACTATTTGGGAAAAGATATTCTCGAAATTTGAAAAAAACACTTCTTAATTTTTTTTGGTAAAACTACTTAGGGCTATTAATTTCATATTTAAGGGTTTTTTGTTTTTTTCTTTTAAAAATCCCAGCAGTTAGCAATTTGGGAAGCACCTGCATTTCAGCTCTTCTATTATGCAACAAATTGCTCCAGTGTTTATTAGAATCTTGTGGAAGATTTTTAAAGGATGCTTTACTATCTTCTTATTACAGATAAAAAATTTATCATTGCAAATGCCAGAGTGCAGAACTGTGCCATCATCTATTGCAACGATGGGTTCTGCGAGATGACTGGTTTCTCCAGGCCAGATGTCATGCAAAAGCCGTGCACCTGCGACTTTCTCCATGGGCCCGAGACCAAGAGGCATGATATTGCCCAAATTGCCCAGGCATTGCTGGGGTCAGAGGAGAGGAAAGTGGAGGTCACCTACTATCACAAAAATGGTAAAGTTTATCTATTTAGAGTTCCTTATCTTTGATTCTATTGGAATGAAATTTTGACAGTTGATTACTGAAAGTTCATAGGCAGAGAAGCCACAATTATTCAGTTGAAGATATATGATTTGCTTATAGTGTTTAGGATTCAAGAAATGTGGATACTCTCATTAGTGGACTAGTAGGGATAATTTCTTCTTTGAATAAGGGTACTCTGTATTCTTCAAAAGTCCAGTAACTTAGTGTCACTGAGGACAAAATGCCACAAATAAGTCTTACTCTCTTCCCTTTCTAAGGAATAATTTAAAGGCCAGTAATTTACTGATTGCATTGAAATGTATTTGATGGGAGATTTTTGCTTGAACTTGAAAATGTTTCACAAAGCAAAGTCTTATAGAAAAATGTGTATCTGAAATTGAAACTATTACAGTTATAGATGTTCCTTGGCACTTCAACTTTATTTGATAGGCAACACCTCTTGTTTCTTTTGATCCTATATAAGATTGACGGTGATACATAGGAACTTCTAAAACTGGTCTAGTAAAGCTATGTGTATTCAAATAAAAGCTGTTCATGTATTCAAGATTTGTCCTAAAGTAAGAAATGGAGAAAAGAAACTATGATATGTGGAATTATTAGTCTTCGTTTTTATGGGTGCAGCAAAACTGGCATCTCAAACGTAAGGTCATACCTCAACTTCAAAGGCACTCCTTTCAGGCTTCCTATGGGAGTATAAATATGTTAGACCTATAATAGTTCTCAAAGAAATACACATTTAATGGACATGCATTCATTAAATACACAATATATGTATATGAACTCACATGTATGAATATTCAGATCTACCCATTTTAAAGTATATACAGTCTCAAATGTGAATACTTAATGATATTTGACAATTTAGAGTGTAAAGGTAAGTCAATTAAAATACATATTGTAGTTAGTTTTGTTGATACTGCATTATCATTTTTTAAATTCTATTGACAGAAATCAGTGATGCAGAGGGGTACCTAGTCAGATTTTTAGGTAACTCTTAAGATTTATAAATGAGTAAATGAGTGATGTGTTATAGCCTATATCATGTAATGACTCATCATTTGGTAAAATACATTCTAACAGGGGAAAGGTTTAGCTCTTCCTCTTATTTTCTTATAATTAAATATTTCATGGTAGAAAATGTACAATTTTTAATTACTGGATTTTTCTTACTATCAACTTGAGTAGATATGAATAACAAACTAGCATTGGAACAGGTTTGTATAACTTTGGATTAATCTGGAATGAAATCAGTTATATCATTATCAGTCAAAACAGGGATAGTTTTTAAAGTTCTTCTCATTTTCCCCCTACTTTTTAATCAGTAGTGTTGGCATACTAGAAATAGCCTAATTGCTCTGTTTTCCTGAAAGCATTTCTTGGACAGAAGCTCTCTCTACCCAAATGCAACTCATCTTGTGTGTGTGTGTGTGTGTATCTGATGCCAACAGTTTGGACTTTTGGAATAATTTGAATGTCTGACCTTTTTTCATGTATAAATATCTATCATGATGTCCCCACAATCTATATTGTGGTTACTGTAGGGCATGTTGGTCCACATTTGGTCATTATGTTTTTTGGGACATTTTGGAATTTTTTTTAACTTATAGAATTTAAGTATAAAATGAATCTGAATTGTATGGGTCATTTAGATACTATTTTTCAGACTGTATTTTCAGATAGAAAATGTGATTTATTAAACTGCAAGTGGAATGGTGATACTTTGAAACCTAGTTGAACAATGTGACTGTGTAAAATGATCTCAGAACACTTTTAAAAAGCAATATAATGTGGAATCACAAACATGGATGTAAAAACTTCTACAGTGAAGATGCTGGTACATTTATTAATGCATATCTTCCTGTCAGTGATTTGCTTGGTTATAGGAATTAAAACCTCCTTGTTTTAGACAAGGAATCTTTATTTGGAAACATGTCTAGGTTTATAAACATTAACCTTTGGTGACAATTTTGATTCTGTTGGCTTCATTGTCAAATGTGACTCAGTCTACAAGGACTTGGGTACCTTCAAAGTCAATGACAAATGCTGCCTATTTTGCTTTTGTTGATATGAAGAACATGAGGTGATGGGCCAAACTTTTTCTTTCTTTCCAAAGAAAAATATTAATTTGAATGACTTTTGTAGATTGTGAAGACAGGCTTATTTGCTCTGAATGTAATCAAATTATGTTTGTGCCACTAGTTCAGATACCCTCAATAGATTCTTCAGAGTGTATTGGTTTTATTCACATGGCAACTGCAAAATCAGTCAAAGCCTGTGAAGTTCAAATGCTTTGAAAGTCTTGTCTCTTCAAGACCTGCCAGCCACTCTACATTTATAAAAGCAGGAAGGGACAAAATGATCAATATTTTCATTGTTTTGTTTCCCAGAGTGTCCTGAATTCTTTGTTATTGAGGTCATTTACTTCTGAGAGGCTCTTGGTTTCTTAAGTGTATACAGTAAGTGCTTCCTTTACTTATTCTTTATTTAGCATTGTGCAGGAATATGACTCTTGATACAATAAGCACAATGAGCAAATTAACAAAAAGTTGAGATATTATTTTTCTCCTTTCCCCATTCGCTCATACTGGAGTAGCAAAGAAATGAGCATGGCATTATTTCTGAAAGCTTGTTTTCCAAATTGTCCGAAAGGCTTTAGAAACAGTTTAAACTTTTGATCTATGCAATGAGCTCACGCTGATGTGGTACATGGTGAGCTGCATGATCACCTTTGTGAAGCAACATTTCCCACCATACTCCTTTCTGTGATTTTACCAGGTACAGTTGGGCTTGCTGTTTACCAGAATATCAATTTTTAAAAACCTAGTTATTTGCAGTAGGAATATTTGACAGCCCATCCTTTGAGAATTCTATCTTACAGCTTATGTCATTATTGCATAAATCATTCTTGGCAGCTGTGAAATATTGCTTGAGGTGATAAAGCTGTAAATCTTTTGACATAAAACTCTAATTATACAAAACTATAATTATGCTGAGGCTTATATAAGGACGGGCATGTATTTTAATAGCATAGTACACGCACTTTAAAAACATCTTTTTAAGCAATAGTTATTGAGAAATAGCAAACACTTCAGTTGTTAACTAGCTCATAGTTTGAAGATGATGTTAACAGTAAGGTAACAGAGAAGAACAACTTAGTTGGTCATCCTTTGATTAATTGCTCATCTGGTTTAGGGTGTATCATGGAACAGAGCTAGATAGTTGAAATGCTAAACCGCTTCAGTCAGATCTAGATATATGATTTTTTTACCTTAAATTACCAAGCCATTCTAAACGTGGAAAAATCAAAGTAAATTTTTCCAAGAGAAGTAAAGGTCTTAACTCAGTAGGAAAACAGGACTTGAAATGCCTTATTTTTAGAGGTCAGAGCATTTCTGTATTTTTGCCATTATGCTTTCAGACACAGAGCAATGGCAATTCTTTTTTAACAAATCAGAAATGTCCCTATCTTTGTGTTGCTTTTAAAGAACTAAAGGATGAGAAGGGCTGAGGGAAGTCCTTTCCTGATTCAGTCAGAGACCAGATCCAGACAGAGCACCAGTCATGCTGGGACCAGTACAAAATTCCAGAGGTATTGTTTGACTCAGCTAAACTCAAAAGAGGTTGTGGCTTGATAACATTGAATCTACCATCTCTAAGAATTGTGCACAAAGGTCTTACAGAAAGTGCTGTGCTGACAGGAGTAAAGGTGAAGATGCGTACTGAGTGCCACCTCTCTCTAAGGTAATGTTTTAGGCACTAGAGAAACAGTAGAACGAGGTACAAAGGAGGATCCAACGTGATCTCTGCTTTCAGGATGTTTGTATTATAGAGCACTGTCTTCTAAACTCCAAGATATTTTCTTGAAATTATTTTTTTTGAGAAAAAAAAACTATCTAGACTATGAAATGAAAAAGCTTTTATATAAATGGAGAACAGAATTTAGGTTTAATTACCACTCTTCCTCTAGTCCCCTACTCTAAAATAAACTTGTTTATATGTATTTCCTGTCACCTTTTGTCATATATACATAATATGAACTTATTAAAGAAGCAGTGTAGTTTAAAACTTTTAAGAGCCCCAAATAAATTTCATAATAGCTTTATATAAGTTATATGGCATGTAAATATTCAGCTCTCTTAATTCCTGAATTGTATAGCAGAGATAAAGATAGTAGTTTTTAGAGAAAGTTAGAAATATATTTTATGTGTGTATAATTCAAACAATAAGAAAGCTTTTCAGGGAGCATCTTGTCTAGAATTTGTTTTGGTGTTCATTTAAACTTTCAATGTATACATTTTCATGCTCCATCCAATAGAATATAGTAACAACAGTCATCATAAAATACATTTTCTTTTACATACCTAAGCTTTATAACATTTCTTGGTCCCTGGTTATTGTATAGAATTTAGATTTGATCAATTGTATTTGTTGATAAAATAAGAATTCTCAAGAAACACTCCTCCTCATTATTCAAAAACTTTATTTTAGTATTGTCCCAAGTGAAAACAAAATGTCCTAAAACTATGGGTGGGCTCTGTTTATCAGTCCCTTTTCACCACCCACCAGCACTATACCTCTAAGCAGGTCTGGTGCTAAAAAGAAGCCGTGTTGTCTGCCAGCTTGAGAAATAACTGCTCATTTCCTTTCTCACCCAAGGGGCTTGAGAACAGGGTCAGTTTAGAGCTAGACTATGTGGGAGGAACTGACTTCTCTGGCTTCCAATGTTGTTTTTATGTTTTATTTTTTTTTAACTATAAGGAGTCACTAAATCAATTACTGGCGGTTAGCAGCAGAGAGAGTCCTAGGGTAATTGATTCATGGGGAAATAGCAGTTGGAGTATGAAATGTTAAGGCATCAACATTCATCTGGCCATCTAATCTAGGAACTTCATAGTCACTTTTTTTTTTTTGGCTCTCTCTCTCCTCCCTAAACCCAGTTGGTCACCAATTTCTTTCAGTATTTAAATCTG